ATTTTAAGCAGAGAAGTCACCTAATTTCTCTTATGAAATTAAAACTGGAAAGAAAAAAAAACCCCAAAAAATATACTATTTACACTTTAACCACTTAGATTAACATGTTTTTTAAAAGTTCATTATATTAAGCAATAAATACCTAAAAGCAAACATAATTTATTTAGTGACACTTTTCTGCACGTCCTGTGAAGCAAAGCACTGATTGCTCTTTATTCTGGACTAGTTTTTCAAAGATGCCTGTACAATGATACTCTTGGAGGATAGAGATATTGTCTACCTCCAGAGCAAAGGGTAGGTTTGCTTACTTTCCAATACGATGATGTCTTCCTCTAGAATAAAGGGCAGGAATGCTTGTTACCCATTAGAAAAGATTCAGAATCCCTAAGCTTAGGATTCTTCTCCTGGAATGCAACCCAGTTAACTGTACATGAGTTATCATCTGGCCCTTTTCACATTGCCCTGTAGGAACTGGGCTCAGAGGAGCCTGCGTAAAGACTGTTGATACTCTGGCTACTGCTACTGCAGTAAATGAACTGTCCTTCATTTCTGACCCAGGGGCCTCATATCTTCAACCAGCAACCCATGAGATTTTACAGAATAATGTATTAGCTAACAAGGGTAAAATCTCAGACCCTTTCCATTTCTTAATGTAATACATTTATATATATTAATATATTTATGTATCATATATAATGTAACAAGATAACTTTAAAATAGCATAACATATAAAAATAATGACACTTATTTAGTGCCATATTCTGTTCCAGGTACTATTTTTATTGATTTAATGTATCCTCACAAACAATCCTACTAGGCAGCAAGTACAAAAAACTCTACCTTGCCATTTGTGCCTATGATAACACAGAAGCAGGTATAACAAGAAATTAGCTCCTGTTTTTCTACTCAGCCTGTTCTTAAATGCAGGATGGCAAAGGTTAAGGAACAAAGGAGGATGTTAAGGGTTATAAAGGCAAAAAGTTTCAAGAAGGAAGAAATGATCAATATGGTTAAATACTGTATAGAAGTGAAGATATGGACTAAAAAAATCTCCACAATATTTAGTAAAGAAGAGGTCAGTGGTGAACTTAGTAAAACCAGTTATATTACAATACAAAACCAAATGCAATAGGCCAAAATGTCAACAGGAGACGGGGAACAATTAAAAAGTATTCTACTCTTAAAACAATACACAGCTCTAACAAAGGGAAGGAGGACTGGGACAGGAGATGGATAAGTTAGTAGTTGTTCCGGTTGCTTCATGATTAAGAATGATTCAAAAGCAATAGCATGGCAACAAGGTTACCTATCAATTCTCAGATTAATGTTCCTACCTGCAAAATCCATTTTAACTGGTAAAATATCAAGGTAGTCACATAAGCACAATGACACACTTGAAAGTACATCAAATTTCAACCTGCAAATCAGTGAGTTACAATAGCTTCAAATGTCCTGAGCCACAGTGAAATATACAAGTATTAATATCCTCCATTAAAAATATATGGATGTTTTAAATGCACAGATGTTTAAGTAAAATAAGAATTAAATTTATTACGGTTTCCATTATTTTCTTTTGAGTTTACATGGCTTATAGGATCAACTTTTTATTTAAGTATACTCTGAAAAGCTAAACTTGTCAATTTTAGTTTTGAAAATCTCTAAATTTATATATTCTCACCTTGCACGAGCTGCATCCACTGCAAGAGCCAGAATATTTCCATCTCCACTGGCAGCGCATTCAGTTAGTGCAGCAAGACACTGTTCAGCCAAAGCTTGATCCCTGGTAGATTTGATCTTATGGGAAATGTCAAAGAAAGGGACAATTTATGTGAACAGAGACCAAAACAGAGATCAGTGGATTAGATCCTGATAATACCATGGAAATTTTTCCATAATCCAACCCCAAAAATAAGAGAAAAAAAATAAAGTGAATAATATATAACCTAGGAATTTCATTCATTCAATTTGTTCATTCACTCAGGATTCCCTAAAATTATATTAAATTTGGTGTAACCCTGACAAATCAGAAAAAAGCAGGGTAATTATAGTGCTGACCTTCCCAAGGAGCACTACTTAGGTTTTTCTAAAGCAGCAAGATGCTGAAAACAAGTGTGTCTTTTATGTGAAATATTTCTAAGGAACACCAAAGATTAATAGTGATAAGGACAAAATAATAGATTAGAATTGAGAGAATGTTTTAGTTACATTTTAGGTTTCCTTTAGCTACTTAACAATATATTGATAATAATATGTATGTATATTGCTGCTCTTTGTATGTACAAATCTTGAGAGAGAGAGACAGAGATAGAGAGACTAAGACAGAGAGAGAAAAATAATGAAACTATGGTCAAAAACTTTTCCCCAGGTCCTTGCTCTTCTCCGCTCTGACAACACCTTGCCAAAACAAAGTTACCTAAATTCAATTTTCTACAAGTTGTACCACTTGTAAGAGTCTGAAATATGACACTGCTTAAGATGCCACTAAAAATATTCAGTATATATAAGCAGAGGTGGGACAGAGAATTTATATTAGAGCAAGAAAAAAAAACCCAAATCCAAATTCTCTATGAAAATGCCCATTTTTCTTCATTTTATTCAGTTGCCTACATTTTTTTCTGTGCTCTAAAATTCTAATCAAAGGAGAAAAAATGTAGTATAGGGTGCTGTTTCTTAAACTGTAAGTCCTATTCTATGAGAGGATGGTGATATAGAATTAATAGATTGTGATCAGCATTTTTAAATAATTAAAATAGAAAACATCTAATTCACTGCACATAATTTGTGTAAGCATTATTTTGTGGAACTTCCATTTTAGTTATGTGTGTGTTCACATACATCTGAATTCACGTGTGTGTAGGTAGGCATGTAGGTAAAAATGTATTTTTTACTGTAAATCATGGTCAAAAATGTTGGAAAGACACTAGTAAGAAGTCTAACATTACTACCACAGGAGTCGCACCTGGGTTCAAGTTCCACCTCTGACATCTGCTAGCTGAATGGACATAAGAAAATTATTTAACATCTCTCCACATCAATCTTCTGTCAAACGGTATTAATGAAAAGAATATGGCTCTTATAAAGATTAAACAAGAAAATGCATATCCAAGGCAATTCCTGGCATAACAAAGGCATTCAACAAATCTTAATTTTATAAAAGTAACAGTAATAAGCATGTAGAGTCATGGTGTTAGAAAACAAGAGCTTCTGTAAATATGACCTTCCCTGTACTGGCCAGCAAAAATAAATAAATAAATAAAACCTATTTCTACAATCAGTATGACATTTACATGGCTTAACAATTAAATCCTTAACATGCACTTTTAGCAATCATGTTTTAAGACATAGATGATTCCTGAATACACAGAATTCCAAGTTGTTTAACTCAAACAATAATTACCATTTATAAACATTTTCTAATTTAATTAAAATAGAGGGTAATATTAATTAAGCACCTATTCATGACTAGCATTGTTCAAGTCCTGGTGATATTGCAATAAACGAAGTCCATGTCTTTGTGGATCTTAGATTTTATTTGGAGAAAAAAAGAGAAACAATAAACACATAACCAAATAAACACACAATTTAACAGAAAAATACAACAGAGTAAATAAAGAAGTGATTGGGACAGTGGAATAGGTGCTATTATAGATATGGATCACTGTGAGCTTCATAAATAAGATGACATTTGAGTTTGCTCAAAGTATACCTTTTCATATTTACTAAAAATTTAGTCATCCTTAGATTAGGTAGTTTGCTATAATTATCTGAACAACAGTTTGCTAAAAATTCATGGAGTGAAAATACATTCTAAAATTAACTGGGGCTGGAGATTGGAGAATTGGAGAAAACAACTTAATATAAAATTACCACTGAGGTTGTTCAGTTTGAAAAAAAAAAGTCAACATTACCAGTAGTAAAAATATTATAACCATCTGCAAAAGGTAAG